GCACAAACATACAGATACCCAAATCTCACCAAGACGGTACATCTCTATTAGTTTCTAAGTTGAAGGTATTAAAGATGCTTCTAACCTGAGTTATAAAGCTGTGAGCACCATTAAGACCTTCCTCCTCCCCTGTGTTGAACAAAAATATAACAGCACTCTTAAAACCATGAGCCCACTGAGACACTGCTCGTGCAAGTTCAAGCATAACAGCTATGCATGAACTGCAATCTCCAGCACCTTCTCTGTAAAACAGAAAACAATCAGTGAAATATAAGGATATACAAGGGAGACAAGCCAAAATGTTGTGTCAGTCAACAACAAACTGAGATGATAGTAAATTACAATTTATGCAAGCAATAGTATCTAAAGTAAAGCAAGTTCTATGTTGAGTAAAAGATGCTGTGGGCACATCTAGATTATCGGAAAGGGTCAAACCTAGAAGTTGTTATCTTCTTTTCCAGGAACAACAATATGATCCAACACTGGTTCTTTTACCCAGCCACTAGAATGTGTTATGTAGCTCATCTCCCTGATGAAGCATTACCTATGAAATATTTCAAGACAGACACATGCACCTCTTTGTCTGATAATACAGTGTTCCAGAAGAAGAAAATCTTGAATGCATCAGAGGTGAAAAAAAGAAATACTTCAGATCCTAAAGTAGATATTATGCTATAGGACCCATAGACAGTGTCATAGTTTAAATAGAAACTAAGAAAAAGTAAGCACATGCCCTGTGACATTGCATATAAATGCACTTTTTCACATGAAAAAAAAAAATACATCAAAGACAAACTTAGAGGGAAGTAAAACTTACGCAGAGAAAACAGTGTCTATATGAGAAGAAACCAGAATAGTGCCATCTCCAGCTTCTGCTACATATTTTGGAGACACTTTAAGTACAATGTGATGTAGATCTGAATAAACAAGTGTTCTCCCCCTGAACAAGCCACTGACCAGACGATTTGTGCCAGATTGCGCATGAAAGACATCCACTTCAACATCTACCTCCCAATGAGCTATTTTCTTAATCTTCTCTGATGCTGCTAGAACATACTATCGATGAATGTTTGTTAAAACATACTCCAGATGCTCTACAAAAAAGTAATTGCTTGCCATGGGCAGACAATTTTTTGGATAGGTAAACTAGGAAATACTTAAGTTCCAATGGGTAAACAATATGTCTTCACTAATAAATGAAACATACATGAAACGCATACTTATTCCTTTCTTAGTGCTCTCTTCAATAAGGAAAAATAAAAGTAGGTGATAAATAATCAAATCCTTCAAAAGGATGTTAAGTCCACGGCTTCCATTTGTCAATATGTGTCATCTCATATTAAAAAAGTCGAACTTGCGGGTATAATAGAAATTTCCCTAAAACTAGGTACTGACATTGAGGCCTTAAGCATTATTATCAAATGAGCAAACAACCCTAAGTTGCCTAGAAGATATACGCAGGGGAAATAGGGCAGAAGAAATCAATATATATAACAATAGGGTTCTTTCTCCTCAAATTACATATTGGGAGGTGGCCGGAAAGTAGTTTTTGTTTCTCTTAGACAAACATCCTCCTTCTCATTTAGAAATGACGATCAATTTTGGAAGGTCTACCTGGGTCCTGTAGGAAAGTTATTTTAGTTCTTTCCATGACACTGCTTAAAATTGACTAAATACTGAGATACTCACTTGTCAGCTGTGCTATACAACTTTCTCATGAATACTTCGAATGTTAAGTGAGTTTGATCATCACATTAATTAGATTAAAGATGACATCCACCCACGTAATCACCAACTAACGTCTAACCAGGTAATCATTAACTCAAATGGTTAAACATCAAAAGTTTTCATGTCATAGAATTAAAGAATTTCGAATGTGTGTATTTCGACTTAACCTTCAAACTCTGCCTAAATTGACTACAATCCTGTCTGTTCTCTCTGCCAATGCACAAGACATCCATGCTTCTTAAACCTCTGTCAGTAACTGCCACTCATCGCCCACAAAAACCGATATGAAGCACAGCACTAATCAACAAGAACTGCCAATCACAGAGCATGCACCGGCGAGCGCATTTCGCAAACATCAGCATTCATCCAAAAGGAGCAAAACCTGTATCGCGTCGTCGAGCGCGTCCGAACCAACAGGATGAGGGCCTACATCGGTCAACGCCTTCACGTGCTTCATCGCCTCCACCTCCGAGAATCCCCTCTTCCCGGCCTGCTCGGCGGTGAGAGGCGGCGGCAAGCTCTCGAACTGGTAGCGATAAACCGCCCAGGAACAGTACATGATCGCCCCAAACAGCGTCAGCCACACGAGGGGCGACCTCCTCGGGGCGACCGCGCGGAGGCCGCCGTCGACCTCCTCGCCCGCCGCCGCCCTCGGATCCTCCGCGCGCGAAGGCCCGGCCGCCGCGGAGGAACTTTCAGGCCTCCGTCGCATTTTCGCCGCGCGCGCGCGCGATCGAATCGACGAGCACCGAATTGGGAAGCTGGGAAATCGAATTCGTAAAGCGAGATTTCACCATCGACAGAAGAGAGGAGGAGGGTTCGGATCGAGAGCTTACGTTTACGCAGACGAGCTCGATGGATCGGTCGCTGATCGGATTCAGGTAGGGGGAGCAAGCCCGAAGCTGAGGTTTGGAGCTTGAGCGAAGAGTGGCGCAAAAATTTGCTTCGACTTTGACTGGTGTATGGCGTCGGGATAACGACCGCATTGGATCGTGTGCCGGTCCGTTGTTTGCGTTTGGTAAAGGATGGGCCGATCGGTTATCGACGGATTGTGGAACTGCCCGAATGGGCGAACCGAGTCAAGCCCGGCCCAATTTCCCCTTACATTGGAAAAAGTGATAAGTGCACTAGAAGTCCTAAAACTTATCGCGAAAGTGCACTAGAAATTTTAAAACTTATCACGAAAGCGGAATCGAGTCCTAAAATTTGTCGTAAAAGTGTACATGAGTTCTAAAATTTTCAAAAAGTGCAATTAAGTCATAAAACTTGTTATGAAAATGCAATCAAATCTTAAATTTTTGAAAAAATGTAACCAACGGAATGACTTGATTGAACTAATTTGACAATTTTTAAGACTCGATTGCATTTTTTTTTAAGTTTTAGGACTCAATTATACTTTCGTGATAAATTTTATGACTTAATTGAACTTTTTGAATGTTTTAAAATTTAATTGCACTTTCGTAACAAATTTTAAGACATTTAATATACTTATCCCTAAAAACTATTTATTAAGAATAGCAATAGCAATAGCAACCAATGATTTAACCTAAATCATAGTCACCGAGATAACATCGTAATATCTCATTCTTGAAGAAATTTCGTGTTCCACCTAATTCTCGTAGTCCTAATAAATTCGAATTCCTCTATTGACAAAAACAAAAACAGAATAACAAATTCGACTTCATTCTAACGAGTGAAAAATACTTCACAATCTCGTCAACTTGTCTCACAAGTCAAACCTTGGTAAGAATCTGATCTAACCAGGCCAAAAGAAGGCGGTGATACAATGTTAGTATACTTGTCCGGGCTTTTTGCGATTTCGAACATTTACTCACCCTCCATCTCGCACCTTGAAGTTAAGATTTGACCGGCGGCTTTTCGTTCTCAAATTTGGGTACGAATATTCTGATCCTAAATAGCGATCGCATCTGAATATATCATTGCAAACAAGGAGTGTCGTTAAAAAATCTATGATCCTATACCTCACTAAATCCAGAGAGCGTAAAAGCACGTCTTAGGGTACAGCGACTCAAAAAATAGAATTATCTTTAGTTGGTGGTGTGCAAAATCGAACATGTACGGCACGCCCGGCCTACACACATTAGTCGGGTCGTACTATTTGTCCTTTCAACAAGGCTGTTTTTTTTTTCTTGGTCATATGTAAGGCCGCTGTTTATTTCCCACCATGTAATAGAAAAAAGATGCGATCACGATACATCAATTGCTACTGATAAAGTGGTCCATGGTGTGTGACTTTGGACCATATCGAAAGAGTAAAAATTGTTCATTATATCGTGGCCTGCCACGAGGCATGTAGCTTCCCCAATTGCCATCATGCAAAGAGGGAAAACACATGAGTCCTCGAGAGCCACTTATCTCCCATCCTTTTAATTTGGAAAATGGCATAAATGGTTTTCGAATTTTGATCATATAATATTTTTTTTGAATTTTTAATTTGTTCAATGTAATATATGTACTTTTAGCTCAATATGCAATATTGTTATTAAACTTTTAATTAGTTCAATATTATCCGTGAACTATTGATTTATGTTCAATCTAGTTCTTAGAATACATGAAAATGACGCAAACAGAATGATTACATTAAAATTTGCCATAATTTAGAAATCCTATTGAGCATATTAAAAATTCGAAAATAACATTGCATGTTGAGTCAAAGTTCATGAATTATATTGGATAGATCAAAGTTCCAGAACTATTTGACTCATATGTAAACATACAAGGACTCATATGCACATATAATACACGTTTGAAAATGCGTGAAAAAATCCAGCTCCTTCTTTAGCCGTTGCGAATCCTCGCGATGGAGAAACGTGTGGTGGTCGATGAGGCTGGGGCTCGAAAACTATCCACTGGACAACCCGCCAAGCCATCTCGAGCCACCCATTCTCGCCACGTGCAGCAATTTCTCGCCCTCGATCGAGCTGCCCAAGCTTTATCCAGCGAGGTAATCGAGAGGCCCTCATGCTCACACGTGTCTTGATGTCGACTCGCCAATTTTTTAATTGGCGAGTTACAAAGATGGATAATCGCATTAAGTTGATGCCCAGGTAATGTCCGTACCCGTAAACTGTTGATGCGGATCATAATATTTATCCAACCAAAAATGAAAAAATATATATATCACCCTAATTTTATACAATATGTCTGATTAAATATTGCCGTCCTCAAAAAGTAAATATATACTTCACATACTTTACTATTATTGGGTGAGACTTTTTTCGCTTGAAAGAAACGAGAAAAATCTCCTCACAAACCATCATATATACACCCCACCATCCTCACGCTTTCCTCCCTCACACAACACAACTACAGTACGCTCTTCTTCGCTCTTCGCATCTGCTCTCTCTCTCTCTCTCTCTAACTAGACAATGGCGAAGGAAGAGGCCGCGGAGCATGCCTCGTTCAGGAACAAGGACTACCACGACCCGCCACCGGCGCCGCTGGTCGATGTGGCGGAGCTGGCGAAGTGGTCGTTCTACAGGGCCGTGATCGCGGAGTTCGTAGCGACGCTCCTGTTCCTGTACGTGACCGTGATGACCGTGATAGGCTACAAGAGCCAGGCTGAGGCCGACCCCTGCAGCGGGGTCGGGAACCTCGGCATCGCCTGGGCCTTCGGCGGCATGATCTTCGTCCTCGTTTACTGCACTGCTGGAGTCTCAGGCAAGTTTTCGGCTTAAAACCGAGACAGACATGAAGAAGTCATACAAAGACCACTGCACAAAATTGATACATATGAACTTTACTGGACATTTACCTTTGCAAAACACTCAGACGTAAATACATGTCGCATTGTTCATAATTTGGCTCTTTTTCACTCGCTTGGTCATGTGAGTAGTATAGCTTCTCTTATGAAGATTTCTGAGACGAACGCTTATATTTACGAACAGGAGGCCACATCAACCCCGCAGTGACGTTCGGGCTCTTCTTGGCCCGGAAGGTCTCTCTGGTCCGAGCTATCCTGTACATGGTGGCTCAGTGCTTAGGAGCCATATGTGGTGTGGGTCTGGTCAAGTCCTTCCAACACTCTTACTACGACAGGTACGGCGGTGGAGCCAACGAGCTCGCCACTGGGTACAGCGCCGGCGTCGGGTTGGGTGCAGAGATCATCGGGACTTTCGTCTTGGTTTACACCGTGTTCTCGGCCACGGATCCAAAGCGAACTGCTAGAGACTCCTACGTTCCGGTACGCATGCGTTCGTTCTGATTCTCTAGGGACATGAATTCACGTTCTTTCCATCGTTGCCACTTGCCATAGAGCTTATCATCTGAATTAGGGCCGATGAAGTTCGGACAAAATTTTACTGGGTTAGCATGTGATGTTTTCCCGCCCTGACATAGGTTTTGGTTCCGCTTCCGATTGGATTCGCGGTGTTCATGGTCCACTTGGCCACCATTCCGATCACCGGCACCGGCATCAACCCCGCTCGGAGTCTCGGACCTGCTGTTATGTACGGCCATAGAAAGTCCTGGGATGACCAGGTGAGTATTTTCCCCGTGCACGGCACATATCTCTCCGGAGAGCATATACACATCTAGAGCCGATCATGGCCTGCTTAGGGCCAAAGGCCAAATGAGCGGGTTTGGGCAAGATCTTACATAAAAAAGACCCGACCCACTTACACTTGTTATGACCAGGCATGGCCGGAAAAATTAGGCCTGGGCATTGGCCCGACCCGGTGACAAGCTCGCACAAGAGTAGCTGAGTCGATAAAGTAATTAAAATCTCGTATTCAATTCTTAAACCGTAGCGATCTCTCGAGACTTGTCGAATTTCGAGATAAATATCCAAACTTTAATCAAATTAAAGAACCGGGTTAGCCTTGTACGTGAAAAGGGTTTCGGATCTCGGCTCGATTACACGGCAACTAAAATTGTACGTGTGTACTTGTGAGATTAAGTTCAGAACATTTTATTCGTTCTTTTGATCGACTTAACCTTGCATTTACCGTTGTTTCAAGTGATTGATTTGACTTCGAGAGAGTATAAGAAGTCTTTTACTTTTTGGGTTTTTCCAACATTTGCAGTGGATATTCTGGGCCGGACCGCTCGCTGGTGCAGCACTGGCGGCCTTCTACCACCAATGTATATTGAGAGCTACAGCTGCGAAAGCCCTCGGTTCCTTCAGGAGCAATCCTCACGTTTAATTCCCCAATTCCCTCTCTCTCTCTCTTCTTGTTTTTCAGTCCCCATCGCTATTAGAGGTTTAAGTGTTTGATTGCGTGTCTAATAAAATGCTGTCTGTACGAACCGTTTTGGTTCCTGATGCTGCTCCTTAGAAACCATAGCTATCGCTGCTCTTTCACTCGCGTCGAGAAATTAGAAGAGAAATTCTTGAAAATGTTGGAGAAATTCATTGCCAAACAAAGCCTTGAGCTCGCGGCCTCGATGTTTCCAGAGTTCAAGCTTAGTGGATTGGCAATGGTTTGGACAATTCAAACATCTACGCATCTTCAATGAAACGAACATTAGTCATCATCGTGTTTCCTTAGCTGCCGACGCTCGATTGCTGTCCCTCGGCTACATCGATCAACAGCTCTCTCAGATCCAGTTAGAGAAGGCAACGGGCGGATAAGGCCACGCCGCTGCTTGGAGCGGCGGAGCCTTGACAAAGCGGTCATTCTATGCCACAGGGCCTTGATAGGCTATTGAGTTCATCGCGATAAACTTAGAGATAGTTGAGTTCATCGCGATCTCTAAGTTCCTCCAAAGCAATCCGAGAGGCCCAAAGAACGGGGCCGAACCGAGAAGATCGAAGCGAAAAATTTCGGGCCAGTTCAGCTTAGCGATCGAGACAGGAACGGATTATCGTGGCGATTTTCGCCCCCATATTGGCCTTGGAGGGTTAACATACACAGCGCTAGGCAAAACAAAAAAGGTATTACGTAAATCTGCCTCATGCTAATAATAATGTCGTCGTCGTGAATAGCATGCGATCTTGATGTCGGAAGCTTGACTTTTTAACGTCCTTCCATTCGTTGGACGATTTCGTTCATCACGGATCCAATTGACTCGATTTGATTAGACTGCGAAATTTTGGTGGGACCACAGGCGTGGTTTAATATTTAATTATTCTAAAACTCAAATTCACGATTAGTCTGGTCTTTTTACCTAGTAATAAGCATGTATATATTTAATTGGGGAGGCAAATGGGGCCTGAAAAGATTTGAACTCAAGAACTCCAGCTCTGATACCATGTGAGATTTTGGTAGGACCACAACCGACTATTTTAAAAGTTTAAGCTAGTAGATGAAGACGTGATTTAATATTTAATTATTCTAAGAATCCCTAACCTAACCGTTATTATCTCCATATAGAAAGTTTTCCTCCAAGCCAATCGCGTAAAGGCTGCTGTCAACGTCGTCGCTCGCCGCCCTCGTCTCCTTCGTGCGTTAAGGCTGGCCGCCGCGGACGAACTGTCAGGCTTCCGTCACATCTTCTTTGGCTACAAAACGAACAAGCCAAGGGACTCACTGCTCACGCGCGATCGAATCAACGAGCTCCAAACTGGGAAACTAGAAATCGAATTCGCAAAGCGAGATTTCACCATCAATAGAAGAGAGAAGGGTCGGATCGAGAACTTACATAGACGAGTTTGATGAATCGATCACTAATCGGATTCAGGTAGGTGGAGCCTGAGAGCTGGAAGCGGAGGTTTAAAGCTGAGCAAAGAGTGGCGCAAAAATTGTTTTGACTTTGACTGATGTGGCGGCAGGGTAACGTCCGCATTAGATAATGGGCTGGGCCGATATGCTGGCCTGTTGTTTATGTTTGGCAGAGAGTGGGCCTATCGGTTATCGATGGACAATGGAAGGGAGAATTACCGCAAAAAAACTAAACTTACAACAATTGTGCCATTTCAGTCATAAACCTTTGCATTTGTGCCAATTTAATCCATCCGGCCAATTTTGGCCGGCCGTTGCCGAAGTGAAATTTTTGTAATAATATTTTAATATATTTTTGTAATTTTGTAATTCTTTTTTTCTTTTTCCTTTTTTTCTTTTCTTTTTTTTTGGGATAATTATCAAAACAGTCCTAAACCTATTGCAATTGTGTCAATTTAGTCCTAAACCTTTTTTTTTTGCCTAGTTTAGTCCTAAACCTTTTATATTTATGCTAATTCAGTCCATCCGGCCAATTTTGGCCGGTCGGCCCTGACGTGGACGCTAACCGTCTGGCCGACACTAATGTGACAAATTTTAAATATTTTTCTTTCAATTTTTTTTTCCTTTCTCTGTTTTTTTTTTTACCCTTTCCTTCTTCCCCTAGCTGGTCGCCGGACCGGCTAGAGACTAGGGCCGACGAGGTCTCGCCACCACTAGTGAGGCTCACTCTCGTCGTCGCAGGCGAGGTCGGCCATGGCGAGGCTCGACCTCACTAGATTTGGGCGAGGCTGAGCTCGCCATGGCTATTCGACCTCGCCATGGCTGTAGGCAAGGTCGACCATGGCTGGGAGGACTCAACCTCGCCTAGCGACGACGGGGGCGAGCCTCGCCATGGCTGTGGGCGAGGTTGGCCATGGCGAGGCTCGACCTCGCCCAGCGACGACGAGAGCAAGCCTCACAACCCTAGCTGCTAGGGGAAGAAGGAAAAAAAAAGGAAAAAAAAATTGCAATGTGAGCGTCAGCAAGACGTAGGGGTGTTAATGGGTCGGGTCGGGTCGGATTTTCATGATACCCGAAATAATGGACATGTGTGCTCGGCCCGACCCGAAACAAAACCCGAACATGATATAGCCAAGTGATCGGGACGGGTTGGTCCGGATCGGGTCGGGCCGGGTTCCGTGTTTCAAACTCAACCAAACGATTTTGTTCTTGCTTTCTCATCACCTCAAAAACCTGCCAAATTCATTCCACGCCCAAAAATGAATTTCTGATTTCCACGCTCTCGACCCGCGCGTATGCCGACACTCCCTTCTGCTTCCTGAGTTTTTATCCTTCCGCGCCGCCCCGTCTCCTCCGTTGCAGCACGCCGAAGATGCCCCTTCTGGCGCGGCCTCGCCGGTGAAGCCTGAGCCTCTCGAGGAGCCGCGAGGTGCGGGGTCAATTCTAAACAGAAAAGCTATCTAGTGATCAATTCTAAACAAAAACAGAGCACGCTAACTAGTAATCACAGTCCTATTAAACAATCAAAAGCAAATAGCAAAATCATTTGAAGGCACAAAGAAACTAGCAGCAAAACCGACATTTCAGTCTGCAAAGATGTCGCGGTCAGCAAACGAAGCACAAAACGAGCCCACGAGAACGCCCAACCTGGTGGAAGCAATCGGATCCGGCGAGGGCCGGGCCGTCGAAGAGCCCAACGGAGGCGACGGCGGGGAGGTCTAGAACGCCGTCCCTGATGGCGACCCTCGGCTGCGCCGGCGAGCCGCTGTCTGGCCGAAGGACCCCGAACGGCAGGTTCTGGATTGAGAAGTGGGAGCCGGGGCCGACATCGATGAAGGACTTGAGGGCCATTGAAGCACTGTCTCCGGAGCTCCGACGGAAGAAGGTGCGGTGTTATGTGGCAGAGAGGCTCGGAGGGAGAGAGCAAAGGAAGGCGAAGTGATATAGTAGAAGAGATAGCAAAAGAGGCGAGAGAGTGAGAGAGACGTGGAAGAGAGATCTAGGGTTTCCTTGTTTGGGTTTTTCTTGTTTGGGTTGGGCTTGTTTTTCCCGAACCCAATAAATTCATAACAAGACCTAATTATTTTTTTTGTTACCCAAACAAATTAAGACCCAACCCGACCAAATACGAAAATTTCTTGTTTGGATCGGGTCGGGTCGTGTTTGGGTGGGTTCTTTTGACACCCCTAGTAGGACGGTTGGCATTGGCCAGCGTCCACGTCAACACCGGCCGACCAAAATTGACCAGATAGATTGAATTGGCACAAATACAAAAGATTTATTACTGAATTGACACAATTACAATAGGTTTAGGACTATTTTGGTAATTTTCTCCTTCGTTTTTTTTTTTTTTGGTATTGAAAGGGGCAAAACCCAGAAATTACAACATAACTCGTCTAACGAAACTTGAACCAACCTGTTCTCCTATCAATAGAGGAATCAACCCTCTCGGTGGCCTATATAGCACTAATGTACCATTTGCATCACTAGAATGAAAGACCCAATTTGCTAACCAATCAGCACATGAGTTGCCTTTTCTAAAATTATGTAGTATTTTGACATTCTGAAAACACCTTAAAAGTTTCTGAATATGAGGGATGAGCGTGTCGCCAAAGTGGAGAGCGAGAGATGATTTCTTCTTCTTCTAGCCAGCTACCAATTTCGTAATAGTTGTGAAGAATCAAGTCCGGCCCAATTTCTTTTTCACATTGGAGAAAACTATTTGTGAATAATAGCAACAACAACAACCAACGATTTAACCTAAAACAAAGTCACCGAGATAATATCGTAATATCTTATTCATGAAGAAATTTCGTGTTCCACTGGATTCCCGTAGTCCCAACAAATTTAAATTCCTCTTTTGACAAGAAAAGAAAAGAAAGAAGAAAATGACAAATTCGACTTCCTCCTAAAGGAGTGAAACGGAGTTCCCAATCTCGACAACTTGTCTCAAGGGTCGTACCCTAGCAAGAATCTGATCTGACCAAGCCAGAAGAAGGCGGGGTAATACAATGATAGTATACTCGTCCGAGCTTTTTTGGTTTCGAACATTTACTCATCCACCATCTCACACCTCGCTTTGCATCACTTAAGATTTGAAAGGCGGATTTTCGTCTCAAACTCAGGTACGAATATTCTGCTCCTAACTAGTAATCGCATCTGAATATACCATTGCAAATAAGGAGTGTTGTTGGCATGGTTCTCCCGGTTCTCTCTTCCTTTTTGTCAAGAAAACTCACTTGATTCAGCAAACATCGTTGGGATCCCGTACCTCACTAAATCCAGAGAGCGTAAAAGCACGTCTAGAGGTAAAGCGACTCAAAAAAATAAGAATTATCTTTGGTGGTGGTGTGGAAACCGAACATGTACGGCACGCTCGGCCTACGCACATAAGTTCACTCACAAGGGGCCGTTCTATCTGTTCTTTCTACAAGGCTGTTGTTTTATTTCCCACCATATAATAGAAAAGATGCTATCGCCATACATCACTTGCTACTGAACAGGCACGTAAAGTGGTCACAAATCATGGTATGGTGTGACTTTGGGCCATGTTGAAAGAGCAAGATGTTTATCATACAGTGGCCTGCCATGAGGAATATAGCTTCCCCATTTGCCACCACGCGAAGAGGGGAATACATGGATACTCGGGAGCCACTTATCTCCGAGCCTTTTAATTAGAAAAGGTAATACAAATAATCTCTAAACTTTGGTGAAGTATGCAATGTTCTTCCGAACTTTTAATTTGTTCAATGTGGTCCATGAACTTTTGGCCCAATGTGCAATATCGTTCCTAAACTTTTAATTTGTTTAATGTGGTCCTAGTTTCAATGTGGTCCATGAACTATTAGTTTGTGTTCAATTTAGTCCTTAGAATACGTGAAAATGACGCAAACATGATGACTATATTAAAATTTACCATAGTTCAGGAGTCACATTGAATAAATTAAAAAATCTGGATATCACATTGTACATTGAGCCAATTTTTAGGAGCTATATTGCACAAATTAAAAGTGCATTGATAATATTGCACATTGGACTAAAATTTCAGGACTATTTGTATTATTATCCCTTTTATTTTCCCATTTGGCTTTTGCTTTTAACAATTATCATGGCCATTCATATTGTGAGATTAAGTTCAGAACATTTTCTTCGTTCTTTTGATCGTATTAACCTTGCGTTTACCGTTGTTTCAAGTGATTGATTTGACTTCAAGAAAGTAAGAAGTCTTTCCTTGTTGGGTTTCTCCAATATTTGCAGTGGATATTCTGGGCCGGGCCGTTCACCGGTGCAGCACTGGCGGCCTTCTACCACCAATTCGTACTGAGAGCTGCAGCTGCGGAAGCCCTCGGTACCTTCAGGAGCAATCCTCACGTTTAATTCCCCAATTCCTCTCTCTTTCTCTCCATCTTTTCTTGTTTTTTAGTCCCCATCGTTATTAGGTTAAACTATTTGACTGGGTATCGAACGACCTGTGTTCTGTACGAACCGTTTTGGTTCCTGATACTGCTTTTTAAGAAACCATAGCTATCGTTGCTCTTTCACTTGCGAGAAATTGGAAGAGAAATTCGTGAAAATTGTTGAGAAATTCATTGTTGCCAAAGTCATGAGCTCGTGGCCTCGACGTTTCCAGAGTTCAAGCTTAGTGGGTCGGCAATGGTTTGGACAATTCAAACATCTACAAATCTTCGACGAAGCGAACATGAGTCATCGTCGTGTTTCGTTAGCCGCCGGCACTCGGTTTCTGTCCCTCGGCTACATCAACAGCTCTCTCAAATCTAGTTAGAGAAGGCTACGGGCCGATGAGGCCACGCCACTGCTTGGCGCGACGGAGCCTCGCCAAAGCGGTCATTCTGTGCCACAGGGCCTCTTGATAACCGAGTTCATCACAATCTCTAACTTCCTCCAAAGCAATCCGAGAGGCCCGAACATCCCCCCAGCAAACCGAGCAAATGGAAGCGAAAAATTCCGGCCGATTCAGCTTAGCAAACGAGATAGGAACAGATTATTGTGGTGATTTTCGCCGCCGTATTGGCCTCGGAGGGTTAACATACACAGCGCTAGGCAAAACAACAAAAGATATTTACGTAAATTCGCCCAGCTCCGAAAATAAAGTCGTCGTGAATAGCACGCAATATTGACATCGGAAGCTTTACTTTTTTGAAATTTTAACGTCCTTCCATTCGCTGGACGGTCCCGCTCGTCACAGATCCGGTTGACCCGATTCGAATGGGACTCCTAACCTAACCGTTATTGGTCCCCGTTTTAGAAAGTTTTCCTCTTCACTGACCAATCCCAGAATTAGGAGGGCAGGGAAAAGGCGATGAGAACCAACCAACCAACCAACCTATGACAGTAACAGCATCGGTGCCCAACTGCCCATCACGATGGGATCGGCATGCACGACCCTGTGAAGCACGTGAACCCCTCCGCCTTATTACGACCGACGAAAGCGCACGCGCCTACGGTCGAGAGAGGCTCTGCATCACCTTCTTCGCGCGTGGTCTCGATGAGACAGTCGTAAGAAGAAGAAGCAAGAAGAAGAAGAAGCAAGAAGGAGAATGGTACCCATCACCACCTTCTTCATCTTCCTCCTGTCCTTCGTCTCCCTCCTCTCCACGCCCAGCTTGTTGCCGAATCCGTCCCGCAGCTACGAGGATCAGATCCGCGACATTTCCTCCGTGTTCTCGCCGGTGGGCTTCGGTTTCATCCACCCCAACGCCCACTCTTTCCTGTGAAAGCGGCCCGACTCCGATCGGCGGCGACCGGCCGCTGCTGGCGGCGGCTTCTCCCGCCGGCGGTCGGTGACGTAAGCATCGCCGAGGAGGGTCCGGCCTGACCCGGTTTCGCCGGGCCCCCCTACCCGACCCGCTTGCTCTCCCTCGCGCGGGCGTCGGGTCGGTGACCCGATAAGCTCGTCTTCGCCCAATCGGATTCGAAGCAGGATTTCAATTAATTTTTTTTTGTGGGAATCGAAGTTGGATACGCCGCGTGTAGCGTGACGTCTCTTGGTTTGCCCCGCTCGATAAAAACAACTGGTGCGATCGTAGTTTTCGTTTGCTCGTGAAGTTCGAAGGAGGAGAGAGCGGCGATTGATTGCCCCGGGGAATCCTCCCGCCTTCGAGGGTTGGCGAGCGCTTTTTCGGAGATCGAAGATGCACCTATGGCCGTCGGTGAAGATCAGGGACTCGTTCAAGTTCGGTAACCTGCAGAACTACGAGCGGAACCTCCGGCGGATGAACAGCGAGAAGCGGGCGGCGGCGAACAAGCAGAAACTGCTGCAGGGGGAAGGCGGCGACGCCGATCGGGAGGCGGCCGAAGGAGGGGCGCCGGGTTTCGGGCCTACGTCGGCGATCGCTTTGTGGGGCAGGGATTTGCTGGCGGTTCTCTCTTGCTTCTACTGTTGCTACGCTTTTGAAGGTAAACCCATTTGGCCGGACTGTTTCGATGATTTTGTTTGGTGAAAATTGCCTGGGATTGAAGTTGCCCTGCATCTTTTGGATGATCGTTGTTGCTCTTCGGATTGTATTTCACGTGCCTGCTTTGAGATGTATTCTCGACCACAATTGGGGAGTGAACGGGTCTTATCCTTTCGGAGAATCTTGGTTGGCATTGATGGTCGAAAGCGCATAGGTTCGGGTTGAAAATTGGATAGTCTCGTCAAAAATACTGATGCTCTGCTGATTCTTGATTGTGATTCTGTGCTTCAATTAGTCATTGTTTTGAACCCTGACTACTTAACTGGAGGACCGGGATGATGAATTATTGTAAACCGCTGGGCGCTAGGATGTTCATTTTCTACTGAAGTACTGGAATTGAAAGTATGGTTGGACAATACTATTGGATGAAGACGGATACGTATGTAGGAAGGATTTCTTTATGCAGTTGAAAGTTGTGATATATCGCGGTTTGGACTTCTTAACGTCGCTCAAACAACAAGTTTAGTAGACAACACACGTCGCAAAAGTTGAGTGTAATAGGAGACTTTTACATTCAATCAGTTAGGTAAATGGAGGTTCCAACTTAGAAGTGTGGACATGGGCTAGAGCAAATTACACAGGCTAGGTTTGCTTGTTCATTTAACTATATGTATTAGCTGAAAGTAATCTAATCAACTGCTAACTAGTGGCTTCCTGTTGAAGAGCTTCCTAGGCATTTGACTATCAGGAGGAAACATGGCCTTTCTTGTCTCTCACAACCCTATAACTTCCACTGATATTATTTGTTCTTGTAGACAAAACGGCAATGTTACTTGAAGAAGGCGTATGGAATATGTTTATATGTTTAGGTGCAGGGACTGATATAGTGCTCCGCTGTTACAGCTTTTGATTTTTAGTCGACCATGATGGCTTGGCTTACTATGGTGTGAGTCTTAGTTAAGCAGTAAGGTTACTTAATTGCATCCGTTTGGCGGTATCTTGTATGCTAACTAATAGGGGTTTAGGACACTCAAGTCTCTCATAGAATAGGAAACATGTGCATGAGATCATGGTTTGATTAGTGAGTTGATGAAAAGTGGGGTTTGAAAGCTGGATGGAGTGTGGTTGCTCGACAGGAACAGAGATCTGACATAGGATTCTGCTCACCTTCTGTCAAAAGAGAACTTAATAATGTGTTTGCTGAAGATATATTTGAAACACAAATTTGCATTTTAATGACTGAGAGTTGTATTGACAGTGTGGAGGAGTGTAGAAGAGAAGGGGAGCTTTTTGAGAAGCTCTTTTGCCTCTTTCATTGTTAGAGAATTCTTTTGGATGCTGTCGAAATGGTAATCTATTTCTACACCTTGGTAACCCTGCCTGTTCATAGACACACCAATCCATTCAGCATTGGTTCGAGAGTCCAAGCTAGGGGGGGTCCTGTCAGTTTGCTTGCCTGTGTACTTACAAATAATCGTCATTATTCCAGAGACCGTCCTAGAAGCACATGCATCTGTCTTTCTCAACATCGCACTGATATGTGTGGTGCTGTTGCTGTTTGAATTGTCATAGATTGATGCCATGATCATCGGTGCCTTGTCCCTGTTTATACCGGAGTGTTTTCATTATCTTGTGTTGTGGTAGCTGGGAGCTTTAATATCTCTTAAGTTTGGTGGTTGTGTGTCGGACGGTTTGGCACACGAGTGTTTTTGAGTTCCTTTCCCATAAGCAATTCAATGCTCCACGTCATTATGCTGTTAAATCTTTAAGATGCATTCGCTTCTGGTCTCACTGCAAATCACTTTGGCAACAATCTGTATGTACGCTGTATCCTTCAAGCGCCAACTTTTTGCCTAGTTTTGAATTACTTTTGTCATCTGCTGCAATATACGAATCTTGCTCTTGCAGATTGTGTTGATCAAGATTGCTGATACGCAACCCTCGGCGGTTCAACATTCAACTTCAAATTTCCATTTTTTTTTCCCGTCTTCCTTTTATTGGAGTTCCTATATCTGTAATGCTGTATCAGTAGGGTGAATTTGCTACAACAGAGGAGTTCTCTTTCTGGTTGCTCTAGCGAAACAGTTGTAAATAGTATGTGGGGTAGGGTGAATATACTATATCAGAGAAGTTCCTCCTTCTGGTTGCTCTAGCAAAATAGCTGGAAATGGTTCTCATTCATCTTCGTGCTTTGTATGGGTGATTCTCCGAACGTTGGCTTCCTGCGAGGTTGCCCAAAGTCTCTGGTTTCTCCCATTGGTCCCACTCTATCTGAACCCACCAGCGTGGTGTCACTGACTCACTTTCAACCTAGTCCTCACGGTTTCTGATAAGAGTAATGATAAAGTATTTCTAGCAAAAACAAAAAGAGTAATGATAAAGTAACTCTTTTTTTATGCATGAACTTGGATTGAATTTCCAGATCTCTTTTGCGTAAACAAATCAGACCCAATCAATTTTACTAACACATACGAGTATCTTACCTACACGTATAAGAGCTTACATTGTCCTAAAGTAAATGGATTTTACTATGCAATCGAGAGGCGTAATTGGGCGGACGACATTTAACAAATGTCCTTCGAAAAACTCAAAAGCTTCGTTTGGTCGTTCGAAATTAGGTTGTGATCAGATGGGATAAGGTGGGATTAGTAATTCTCCGAATATCTTCTGTTGAAAATCTCACTTGTCCAATGCAATTTCCCGCTATATCTTGATCTCACCGCTATATTTGGTTATCCTATCCGAATTACCAAACGCAACTAAAATCTTTACATGATTGATTTGAAGTATCAAATTCCTAATGAAAGCAATTAATTTTACTTTTAATCACTTGTTGTGATGGCACATTGTAACGGCTAAGAAAAGAAAGAAATCAGCACACGATCACCCAAACCCAAAGATAGGATCTTCGCAAGGAAAATTCATATCAGTTACCAAAATCAAAAGCCACCCGCATCCACTTTCTTCCCGGCGTAAATTTTATTCTTTAATCCGTTCACTTCTCAATTTGGACCCTGATCCTACGCCCCACCCTCCACGGCGGCGCGTGCTTCACCTCCGCCGGCTCCCGCAGCAGCGCGCTCGGCCCTGGCCACGAGCCACGCCTTCATCTCCCCGAACACCATGTCGACGCTCTCGTCCGGCTCTCCGGCCAGCTGATGCCACATCCCGGGGTATATCCTCAGCGTCTTGTCCTTGCTCCCGGCGCGCGCGTACAGCTCCTCCACGCACGCCGGGTCGCAGACGACGTCGTCGCCGCCGTGCACGATGAGGAGCGGCACCTCCACCTCCTCGAACCGGCCCTGCAGCTCCCGGCACACCCTCAGCAGCTCGAGCGCCGTCGCCGCCCGCGGCCTCGCCACCGTCCTCCGCGGGCTCGCCAGCGCCAGCTTCCGCTTCCGGTCCTCCTTGAACGACAGGTCCGGGATCGACCCGCGCGTGGGCACCACGCGCCAGGTGGGGACGACGGCGGCGACCATGAAGAGGAGGTGCTCGAGCGGCCAGGGGGGCTTGAACTTGGCGCTGATGCCGCACATGGCGCCGTTGAGGACGAGGCCGGCCCACGCGCCGGGCTGGCGGAGGGCGACGTAGAGGGCGATGGCGCCGCCGAGGGACTCGGCGTAGAGGAAGGCGGGGAGGGAGGGGCCGTGGCGGGCGCGGAAGGAGTCGAAGAAGGAGACGCAGTCGTCGACGACGGGGCCGATGTCGGGGATGTGGGCGACGAGGCCGTCGGAGAAGCCGTGGCCCTGGTGGTCGAGGGCGCAGGTGGCGAAGCCGGACCGGGCGAAGAAGACGGCGGTGAGCTGGAGGAGCCAGCTGGACTCGCCGGTGAAGCCGTGGACGAGGGCGAGGACGCCGATGACCCGGGTCGGGGGCAGAGGGGCCCACCACTGGGTGAAGAGCCTGAGGCCGCGGGGGTTGGTGACGAACTCGGAGCCGTGGCTGACGGAGTGGCGGGCGTAGAACTCGTCGGGGGTGAGGGAGCCGAAGGGGCTCGTCTCGCTGGCCTCCGCGATCGGGTGCGACATTTGCGAAGCGATGGAAGCAGGCAGGAATGGAGTCGATGATCACCCAGAGGAGGGAGGAGGAGGAGGAGGAGGAGTGAGTTTTTATCGTTGGCGATGAGGAGCTGGAGCGTTGTGGGTCGCGACTTTAATTGCTCGCGGTCACGGTCAATTGGGGGGGGAGTTGGCTGTCGTGTCCTGCGTGATCCACATATCGGCCACAATGTCTTTCTTGCTTGATCGAGGATTGGACGACTGTCCGTGTACGCTTGTTAAGTAATCGATTAAAAAAAAAAGATTTTACGATTACGAGTCTTGAAAGTCGAATCATTCTAAATGAGAATATACCCGACGCGAGGGGTGAGCAAAAGGAACTGTTTGGACCGGAAATCGTTGGATCGGACCGATCGAATCTGGGCGGTGATTTGGCCGGTTTCCGGGGCCACAGATACGCTTCCCCGTTTCGTAAAATTGGAACCGTTGAATTTCGATCTGGTTCCCGCTTCCAGAAGTGGAACTGCCCACCTGGACCTGATCGATTTTTTTTAAATTTTTTTTATTTCTTAAAAATCCGTAAAAAAAACCCTAATCCATCTTTCATTTCAAGCTTGACTTACGCATGACTCTCATTTCATTCACGCATGCAAACACCCTAATTTTTCGACTTACGCATGACTCTCATTTCACTCACGCACGCAAACACCCTAATTTTTCGACTTACGCATGACTCTCATTTCACTCACGCACGCAAACACCCTAATTTTTCACACTTTCACGCATCTTTCACAAACCCTGTGTTTGGTCATCGGGATAAAATTCAGGATAAGATAAATTTTATCCTATCCCGTGTTTGGTGTTTGCCCAAGATAGGATAAAGTCGGATATAGAAAGGATATAGTCCGGATAAAATCATCCCATGGGGGAGGTGGGATAAAGGTGGATAGGATTTTTAATAACCATAATATAAAAGTTAATTTTTTCGAATAACAAACTTGTTAAATTAATAAAATTAAAATAATATTTGAATATAAATAATATTTGAAGATAGGATAAAGTCGGATATAGAAAGGATATAGTCCGGATAAAATCATCCCATGGGGGAGGTGGGATAAAGGTGGATAGGATTTTTAATAACCATAATATAAAAGTTAATTTTTTCGAATAACAAACTTGTTAAATTAATAAAATTAAAATAATATTTGAATATAAATAATATTTGAATTTAATATAAAAAAATTCAAAATAACAAAAAAATAAAAATAATTTCTTTTTTATTTATTCTTATTTTTATTTATGTATTCAAAATATCTTTTTATATCTTGTGATATAAATTTCATAAATATAAATCAATATTAATGTATTTATATTTATTACTTATTTTAGAAATATTAGTATAGTTTACTATTTAATAAAATTTTATTAGAGAATGATGGAAGGGGAAAAAAGAAATTAAAAAATTAAAAAATATGGAAAAATCATAAAAAAAAATAAGCAAATAAAAATGAAGTAGGTAAGAGTGTCGTAAGAGATTTTTGTCATCTTCGTTTGTGCAATTTTTAAGTTCATTTACATTGATATGACGTTCATAGCAAATAATGGACATGATAAAATGTGAAAATATCTGGCTTTATTTCCGCGATTCACCAAACAGTAGATAGGATATAGCAAATCCTTTGGATTTCATATCATATCCTATCTAGTCCTATCCTAGTTAAAAATCCAAATGGCCAAACACAGCCTAATCGCTTTTTCCTTCTTATGCTCGCGCGACTCTAGTCACTCTCTCAATCGCGGCTTTCTCAGTCACTCTATTGCTTGATTCTCAGACGCCACCCTTTCGCTTGAGTTGCGTCCCTCTCGCAGTCTTGAGTCTCGACTCTCGCCTTCCTTTCTTGCTCTGTTTTTTGCCGATCGCAATCGCAATTGCATCTCATTGAGGTAAATATCCAATATTTTGTCTTTTTTTTTGCTGTTCTTTGTACACCATTTTCGATACTGCATCTAGATCTTGTATTCGAACTAATCAGTGCCAAGCCCCTTGCCCCGACGACCATGTTTGCGAATTAAATGCAAAGTCATGGGCTATCTTCCCGATAATGTTTTGTCAGGCAAAGATAAATTTTAAAACAAATGCATCATCATTCAAAAACCTAGAAGGGAAAAAGTTGAATGAACCCTACGGTTGAATGGACTAGCAATTTGTGGTTGGTTACACGAAATCTTGCAATGGATTATGGACCACATGCCTAAAAAAAAAAATAGAACATGCCGCTAGTTCCATTGGCCCGTTTGGGGACTGGACTGAACTATCTGGTTTGGTCCAGTTTCAAGACCAGGTGGACCGGTTCCCGATTCTGAAAATGGGGAATCGGCCCCTCTGGTTCGATTCCCAATTCCTGGGTGGAAACTGACCTACCTAAAAAACGATCACACCTACTCGACAAGTGTAGGGGGGACTTGAGAAGCAAATTTTCACCAAGTGTAGTCTGGTCCACTTGGATACTTCATTGGATATGATGTACATAGTTCTTGCCTCTTTGTAGGGGTGGGACCATAAATTAGGTGGCGAATTTAGATGATTGATCATCTTTTTGCTTGTAATAAGAGTCTTCTTATTTTGGTTCGAATTGACAATAATAATAGTTTATCGGGTCCACCAATCGCGTAGTAGAGTAGACATATATCCTTGAAACGTTTGAGTTATGTGTCAAAACGGTGGCTGCTATTAAGGGTACGATGAAAGATAACAAGTATTAATTTGGGGCATTTTGATTTGAATTCGAGATCTCTCATTTTATCAAACCGTAGTCCAATGAATTTATAGGCGATATTATATTTAATATGGCGATATCTTAAAGATGGCATCACCGTCTTTTTATCATAGGTTGATCCTATCATTTTCTTTCTTGTTAAACCCTTCATATAATTGACCAGCGAACATACCCTGTTCACGGGCTTGGCGAACGCTTGGCCCGTCCAAGGCGAAGCGTGTGGATGGCAGAGTTAGCTCACCGTGCTCTGCCACCCCACTCCATCTAGGCCCAAAACCAATGCCGCTTTCCGAGTGGATGGACGACGGCAAAGTTAAGCTCGATCTCAAGCTCGGCCTTGCCCGACCCAACCTCCCGATTCGAGGCTTGTTTCTTTTTTTTGGTCAAAATTTTTTAGGCGTGTTCAAGTGATGAACATCTTCTCGATTTTTTTGGGACTAGAACGGGTCAGATATGGGCCAAGCTCGCTCGTATTTTTAAGGCCGGTGGAGTAGAGAGGGCCTAAGCTCGCCTCATCTAATACATACTTGAGAGTGTTTTCAAGAAACGATATTCAAGAATAGAGAAATGCATTGTTCGAAATCGCTGGCAATGAATTACTTCCGCCCTCCCTCCTCTTCAATATCCCTGTCACTAGTGATTGAATATATTTTCGTATTTCATGTTTAATGAGTATTAGAAAATTTAACCAAAAAACTTACGCATTTAAGTGGAGGGACATCACATAAATAGAAAGAGCAAGTTTAAACTTTTTGGTCGGTCTTTCTAACACGGCAGCCAGGTACCGTTTCAGTTCCACGTGTCATTAAGCTGCTGGGTTGGATATCTACCAAGATTATTCAAATTAAGACGATACCATAGTTTAAATATTATTAATTATAATTCTTATTTGGTGAAGTTTTTAGTTATTATGGTTAATGTCTTTTTTTTATGAAAAAAGAATCATTTATCTCGCCGGCGATGGAAAAGGGCAAAAAGGTACTTTGAGAAAATATTTGGTGGTTGATATTATCACATCATCAATGGTTGATGTGGCAGATATTTTTCTACTCACGTGGTGCCACGTGTCGAATCCTGATTGGGCCGACGGACAATGACGTGGTGTGGCCAGTCCACCTAATATTTTCTCCTCATATTCACTCTTAAATGCACACGTATTAACAATACTACGTCGGCAGCTAATGTAAAATAAAATAAAATTAAATTAAAAATCTGACTCTTTTTTCTCTCTCTCTTTTTCCTCCGTCATCATCCATGGCTGTTAGCTTCGCTTGTCATGGCTCGCGAGGCGGCTCACCACAGACAACGATCCCGATGACCATGGACTAATGACACTGACAACGGTCGTGGGCGAGTGCCGCTCAAAAATGCCTGAACTCGAACGCGTTCGGCCATGGACGAACAATGCCGACGACGCCTGAACGTGTTTGAACATGGACAAGCGATGCCGATGGCGGCCATGGACGAACGAACGATGAGATGCACGAACGCATTCGGCCATGGATGGCGGCCATATATAGACATCTGGAGAGCGACGCCATGCATGGCTAGATATGGAGATCTGGAGAGCGACAACAACGAAGTCGCTGTTCCAGATCTGGGAGGCTGGAGACACGACGCCGCTGGTGGCGACAACGTGGGGAGCCGCTACAACTCCAACCAAGCAAAGAACTTCCATGGCTCAACAGAAATCTGGTCAATATCATGCTAAATCAATGAATTTGAGAATGAAAATATGGATTAATTTTGTATACTTGACAAGTACCTCCGGAGCACTTCATTGCAACATCCTTACCAAAATTAAGCTCGACCACGATTGTGCATGGCCCAAGCTAAACTCCTTTCTTTTAGGGCCAGGGGCTGTTCTAGTCCAACAGGAGAAACTTGTATATGTTTCATTAAGAAGTGGTTAAAAATGTGAGCCCATTACATAGGAGCTGTTGAATGATAGATGTGAGCCGGCATAAGTGCACACCTGTGCTCATCTTTCTGACAAGTTAGAAAAAGTCAATGGCTCGATCCAAATTTCATGGACAAACAAAAAGACTCGAGACAAAACCATATGTTCACGTGCATGCAAAGTCCCAAGTCCTTAACGTAAGAGCCTTCAGAAGCATGATCCCCATGTCTGCAACACAAAAGAAACCATTTAAACTCGTTAATGGTGTTCAATCATTAAACGTATAAGTCTCTGTTTCCTCATTTCCTCTCTGGGGGGTGGTCATGGATCTATTCACGGGCGAGCTAAACGGCAGGCTAAGAGTTTCGGTAGCAGATTCAACTATGATGTGGATTGTGCACGAGGCGATGCACAAGGCCCACGAGAAGGTCAAGTCGAAGGGTGTGATCTCACGCCTCAACGAGATATCCAAGTTCTACGAACTGGCCGTGATTCAACTGGAAGGGTGTTTGAGGTTTGTCCAAGAAGAGGCAGATTCTGGCGTTCTCGAGACCCCCCACCAGGATCTGCTCACCGATTTAGCCGAAATCAGGAACCATCTCCAGGGCCGCCTGGTGGAGTCGGAGATGGCGATCTTGGAGAAGGACTCGGAGTTGGCCGAGAGATTGGAGAGCGAGACCAGACTCAGACAAGCACTGGACATGAAGGAGATCGAATTGGCTTCTTTGAGGAGTGAAGAGGAGCTTCAAAGAGGATCGAGGGTTGAGGGTGTTGAGGACTCGAGTCCAAGCAATGTTTGGGTTAGTGGTGGAGAGGAGAGCAGAGGAGGTGAGTTTTGCGAGCTGAAGATTTCGGTGGATCAACAAGTGTGGAACATCAAGCAGAAACTCGATCCTGATTACAATAATCAAGTGGTTGATGAAGCAAAAGAACACAGGAGTTCTAGTAACACGATGATAGAGCGAATGGGCTCCGACATCGACACCCTGAAAGAGACTCTGGATCTCGCTTTTGGGAAGATGCAGAGCGCCATATCCTCCTCGGAGATGGGACCAACGGAGCAAGAATGGAGGTGGGGCATCGAGAAGGATATCAACATCGTGTCGATAAAAGAATTCATTAGGGGTATTCAGGAGCATTGCGAGTTGGTGGACTCGGGAAGGGTCGCGAAGCGAGCCCCAAGTACGGTGTTTGGAGAGGATTGGTCGGGTCTTATGCACGAAATCGCACTGCTACGCTATGAACTCGAGTCTTTGATCAGCCAAAGTGATGTCAATTTTGTTGGGGAGGTAAGAGGCGGCGAGACATTATTTACCAAGACAAAGTCCGAAAGCAGCAGCCCAAAAGAAGCGACGGAATTCCTAGGCAATGCTTCATCAAAGATCGGAAATGAAGACCGTGAGAGGAAGCAGCGACAAGGATATGATGGAGAAGACGAGGAGAGCCACCTAGTCGCGCGGATGATAAAGAGTCACGAGTCGATTATTCAACAAAAGAACGAGGAGCTGAATTGGCTCAAGAGCGACATTCTGAGAAAGGGGTGTTCTTCTAATAGGAAAGAGAAGGATCCTAGCGGATCGAAAAGAAGGATCGAAGAAGTTATCTGGAGGTTGGATGAAATCCTGAAGCGAAATGCGAAGCTAAGCAAAAGAATTAGCGATTATCGTGCAGGTGCTTGCGAGGAGGAAAATTACCAAGAAACTATGTCTGACAAAGTGGAGGCACATGCGGATAGTTGGGGAATTGGTGCTCGTGCAGGATTTATAAAACAATGGGACAGAACTCGAGTTCCATGTGAAGTAGATACGATGACAAGCGATGAAATGAGAAGGCTCAGAGAAGAAAAGGAGCTGATAGATTTGCAAAGCGTTTTAGTGGATGAGATCTACATCACACTGCTGAAGAGTATGAAAAATGAATGCCATGCCGAGTTATTTGATTATGAATTAGATTTTCTGATAAGGCAAGGCATACTCAGCAATCTAGTGAGGGACGTGACCGTCGAGCAGAGCGAAGAAATAGCTAGGAACAAGATTGAGTCCTGGATCAGGGAAGAGTTGTATTCTACAATTCTCCTTGAATCGACGAAATATCGGAGATGTGCTTATTGCTCAAAGTTAAAACTTTATGATGATCAGGATGTCGGAGACAAGGTTATGTTCACTGGAAATCCTGCTACTCCCATTTCACGGGATTATTGTTTGCAAGACCAGATGAATGATGCCGTGCATGCAGTTGTCCTACGCGAAATCCTAAAGGAACGGAATAACGCTGTTGAAGATTCTATAAATGAGATCCTTGTCACAGAAGAGATTGGTCATATCGTCTCCAGCGAGGTAATTAAAGATATGTTTGAAGGTGCTAATTTCGGATCGACTCAACACGGAGAGTTAAATTGTATAGAAGATGTATTATATGAAACTGCTGATCAAAGCGCTGTATATTCCAGTTTAGAATGCACATTGAAGGAAGATGTCTACACGGTTTTCCTAAGAGAGACCACCAAGGAATGGAGAGAAAAGATAGATGCTTGTGACATTGAGAGAAGTATTTCTCAAAAAGAGATGCATCAGTTTGTCGTCGGTGAGTCTTTGAGACACGCTTGTGATCGCCCCAGACAAGCTGAATTGCAGAAAAGAGTTACTGTTGTAAGCCTGGAGGGTTTGGACAAAGATGAGGAATTCACAACCACTACGAGTTCTCATTTCGAGAAACAAAATGAAACCAATATTCCCCAAGAGTTGTCAATCAATGAGGAAAATGGTTTTGCTTCTGAGAGGGGTCAAAGAGTATTAGATGACTCTGAATTTCGTTGTCGAGCAGCAGGCAGGGGCATTCAGAAGGCTCAGGTTCAGGAGACTTTAAACATGGGCATCGTCGATGATCGAAAACCTTCCATGGTGGAACCAAAAGAAATCGGTTCAATGCGATTCGTTCCCTCACATTTGGTATCTCAACCTCTCCGGGAATTTTCCGAAGCAATATTGGATTTGCAGCGAACATTACATGATCGTCTAGGGAAGAATATCAAGAGGTACTTCATCCAGTTGAATTCACACTGTGCTGATATTAATCGAATTCTCCTATTCAAACCCATTTTTCAGAGAAAATGCGCTATGCTTAAGCAGTAACCTTGAATTTTCAACCGACAATCTGTGAAGGATTTAGGGAAGAACATGTTCATCCTGGGTCCTAGGAATAATCACATTTGGATACATTATACCCTCTCCTTGTTCAGAGTCGCTAGCACACAACATGAAGCCTATTTCTTTCGATAAGATGGGATTAAAAAGAATTCCTTAAGCTTCTCTCGAGCGAAATCACGTAATGGTACAAGGTTTCTTCTTTACAGGCTAAACGACGTGAAGAGCCAATTACATGCCTCATTTGAGCTAGTTGACTCGCTCAGGAGAAGAGAAATACTTTACAGAAAAGCCTTCATCAGGAGATGCCAGAATCTTCAGAAGGCTGAGACTGAGGTTGTTCGAAATTTCCGTTTCTTTACAGTTCTACCATGCTATCATTGTAGATTAAGTCTCCCATAAAGTGGCTTAGTTTCCCTCCACTTCCAGATTTGACATAGGACTTCAATATTCTCTTCATATTCAGGTTTTTCTCTGAACTTCGATGGTACAGGTGGATTTACTGGGCGATCAGGTGGACGCGCTTCTTGAATTGCTCGAGATGATATACGCAAAACTTCGCCAATCCCCTGTTTTCCAGAAGCATTTGGAGGTACACAAAGTGTGCAAACTTTTCACTTCAAGGAGGAGGGCATAAACTGTCGTGCGAGACATAAACTTCGACTGGTCTACTCTAGTGTTGATGATTTTAAACGTTGCTTGTGGGTAACGGTTTCGCGGGATAATCTTGGTGATCGGCCATTCGCTTCTTGCAGATCTCTGAAATTCTGGGGATGATCAAGAAAGAATTGATCAACCGGAACGACCGAAGCACCTAAAAGTTGCTCAAGGAGTCAAAGATATCCAGGTCTCCGGAGTTTACAGACAACATGAAAACTTCATGATCGCTATTTTCTTGATCATCCTTGAAAATGGCAATGGATAAATCGATTTTTAAGGTAGTTCTGACAATTCACGTCGGTGTCTATCGACTCTGTTTTCGTTCGTGTTCATTCATGTTAACGTAAAAAATTGCGACTTTTATCTAACAAGACAGATAACTGAATTACAATGACGACGGTGTGGGGACGCCTTTCGGAGTGGGGGCCCCACTCCCCCAGATATTTGGAGCTCCTCCTGCAATTTTTCCTCGGGCCATGGCCATTCAACTTCAATCTCTCTCTTTCTCTCTCTCATGGCCACACCAGTACGATTCATGCCTCTCATCTTGTACAGTCCATTCCAGCGAGAAGGCGAACTCGTGCACTATCTGTCTTCTTCCATGGCTGACTCCTCGTCGTCGTCGGAACGAGAAATCGTCCGGCGACGCAACGGCTCTTTGCCGTTCGTCTTCCTCTTCCCACCATTTCCCGAAGCAGGGGATAAATCGCTTCCACCACGCGAAGAAGGACCACGACCCGCTATGGCTGCGGGCAAAACCCACTCGCGCGAAGCGGGGGAGCGAAGCTGTGGAGGTTGGAGAAGAAGGGTCCGAGAAGAAGGGAACAATGGCCGGTGCTGTTGCTCTGATCGTCGGCACTAGCATCGGTTCAGGAATACTCGCCCTCCCTAAGAAGGCTTCCTCTGCTGTAAAATCTCTCTCCTTGCTAATTTATTTCTTTTTCTTCTTAAATGGACAATTTTTGTTGTCGATGTGATCCCTGGTTTTGATTACAAATTGTAGTTTGTGTTCTTTTTGTGGCCTTCTGGTTGTTCGGTCTGTTCTCAGCTGTCATTGTGGTGGATTGAGAATTTTGCGCTTGAAATGGACTGGTCAATATGATCTGTATGGCTTTCTCTCGTTGCTGATTGCTCTGTTTTGAGTCTCGTTTTGGGAAGAGTATGATAGTCAGTCGGCCGAATTGCCAATTGACCTGTATGTGATAATACAACAGGCAAGTTGGGTTTTGTTGGGAAAGATCGTGGAGCTAAATTGAAGTAGTTGAGTTTACTTTGCGTGCCGTCTATTAGGAAAGCTAAGCATTTTTCTCGATACGAAAGTAATGGAGCGCGTATGCAAAGGATGAGAGTATTTAACGACATTCTCTTTATATGTTCTAGGGACTGTTTCCGAGTTCAATATGTATGATCTTGTGTTGGGCGTTTCTCTTGGTCGAAGCGCTTTTGCTTGTGGAGATCAATGTGAATATGTGGAAGAGAAAGAAGAAGATGAAGAATGGAGGAGAGGATGAGTTGGAGGTCATCTCTATCAGGACGATGGCTCAGGAGACATTAGGAAAGTGGGGAGGCGGTTTTGCCACGGTCACTTATGTGTTTCTGGGCTACAGTTCCATGGTCGCATATTGTTCCAAGTCTGGCGAGATCCTTTTCCATCTTATAAATCTTCCAGCTTCGTTTTCGGGCTTCTTCTTCGCCACGCTCTTTGCATTGCTCATATCAGTCGGTGGAACTCCAGCCACTGATAAAGTGAACCAGTGGCTCACTGCTTCCATGATAGGTAATAATGTGTAGAAGCTTTTGCGATATGATACCTCTAGCTGAATTCTACTCACTAATTAGGCCACGACATGCCATATGAGCAATCACTCGTACATACATGTAGAAATTGGCTACTGAAAACGCCCTCGATCTTTTTCCAACATGTCAAGTGATAATCAACAGGACATCTCGGTTTAGTTTCTTTCTGCATTTCATGTTTTGGACCCTGTAAACTTTCCCTGCATGTACACACATTGATGCCGCACTCTGTCTGATTATCAGGTTTGTTGTTGGCGATTGAGGTGCTTGCGGTTGTGCTCGGCGGATGGTCAGGTTTTGGGGGAAGTGGAGACTGGGAAAAAGTTCCGGCGACAATCCCTGTGATGATCTTTTCTCTGGTTTATCACGACGCAGCACCTGGTAAAGATGATAATGAAAATTCTCACAGATTTCTGGAGAAAAAAGGGCAAGCTGTCGAATTGATTACCACTCATTTGCTGCAGTAATCTGTGCTTATCTTGGAGGCGATCTTAAGCGTATAAGGAACTCCGTTTTGCTTGGTAGTACTATTCCGTTACTTGCTTTGCTAATATGGGATACAGTTGCACTCTCTCTCTTGAACGATGCAAATCGAGTTTCTGATCCTCTCGATTTGCTGCTGAGGTAACTCTGCCTTGGCCTTGGATTTCCTATAAATAGGAAATCCTTTTTATGGCCAATATTTCCTAATCTTGAAGTAGCTTTTGTATTTGAGAGGGTTGCAACAATTGATTGCATAGTATCTGTAAATATGACTCCACAACTGGTTTAGCTTGACATGTAAATGTAAACAAAAGAGTCAAACTCTTTTCACAACCAAAGTTATGTTGAACCTTAGGCGCAAATAGCTTAGCTGATATCTTTCATGTTTCACACATCCGTCAAATCTACTCTAATAAAGTCTGTTTCACCTGGTTCAGTGTAAGATGGAGCAAAAGAGTCAAACTCTTTTCACAACCAAAGTTATGTTGAACCTTAGGCGCAAATAGCTTAGCTGATATCTTTCATGTTTCACACATCCGTCAAATCTACTCTAATAAAGTCTGTTTCACCTGGTTCAGTGTAAGATGGAGCGGGGTTCCATTGATGGTGGAGGCCTTTTCGCTACTGGCCATTGGAACGTCGCTAATAGGTACTCTTTTGGGATTCTCAGAGTTCTTCAAGGAGCAACTCACAAATTACGAGCTGCAGTCGCCTTCAGTACAGATTTTGCTGGTAATGGAGGTAGCTTTATTAAGAATCGACATCATTTTTGTATTTTTCAAATTATCTAATTCAGAAATAACGGCAATACCCTCGATTGACTTTAGCTTACTTTCTTTGTTCTTGAAGGAACCAAAGGAGGTCTTTGGGGTGAGAAAATGGTGGGACAGAAAGAAAATTAGCTTTGCTTCAGTAGCGATGGTCGTTGCTCCGTCTATACTGGTGTCGACTACAGTTCCGGATGCATTTTCAGCAGCCACAGATATTGCTGTAAGTGGGATGCAAGATTGTTCTTATCCGCATATAGATATGCCTATTTTGAATATGTATCGTGTTTGACTAATTTAAACAAAATTAACCTTTGAGTAGACTAAATTAACTGTGAAGGCACAATGGACTGCGTGGACTTATCAAGTTTCGAGCCAATCATTTTAGTGTTTCCTGAAACTGTCAAAAGCATGAGATATTTTCAGAGAGTAGAAGATGGCTGTGGAGGGAAAGTTACAATTTCTGTTTGGGCAATCCAACATGCAAAGCTTGAGCCTTTGCTTTTTCTAAATGCTCCATCTGTGATGTGATGCAGGGAGGGTATTGTATGACGATGCTATACGGCGTCCTTCCACCGGCGATGGCTTGGGCTATGCATCAATCAGAAGAATGCGATGACACCGAAAAGGATGGATTATCGAGAGCAAAGCCTGCACTTGTTGGAGTCGGTCTTTTTGCTTGCGGAATCGTGATGGAGCAAGTTCTGCAGGACCTGTTAACATTTATATGCCAATAGCAGGACAACGCTAAAAGCCCTTCAGATGAAGTTAATCGTAGAAAGTATAGTAGTTTGTCATCGACACTCCCGCTTCTTTTAAGTTCATTCTCCTGGGGGCAAGTTAGGTAACATCTTGAACGATAAATTTCCACCCAAAAGAATAATTCAAGGAGAGAGATGCAGATTGCAGGGTGGCGAAACATGGACAAGCATGCACCAGTTTGTCAAGATAATGACAAGATGGTTGAGGTTCTGCTGAGTAGCAGCAGCTCAGATTCGCCTCAATGTCCATGTAATTATCTGCAGTGAACATGCAGTTGAGACATACTGGTCTAATTTGATGCATTCGACAGATAATGATGTGACTGAAGCACCTAACCCAAACCCATGTTAATGTTGATGTTTTCTTTCCATCGTTTCTTTAAAGACGAGAAAACCCACCTGCGCAGGTAATTCCCGGGACCATGAAAATGTTAGCGTCTTCTTCAGAATGAATTAACTGGTTAGTATTTGATTATGCTGTTATTAGACTGAATCCGGGGGTAAAAGAGTGCACGAGGACGCCACAAGCTCATTTAATTTTACTGTATATGAACATCAAATACTAAATTTCACTAGTTGTGGCATAAAAGAGTTGGACTAAAACAGTGAAATGTTGAGTTTTCGATTGAAAACCCAACGACCTTCAGGCCCAGTCAACGCACTTTGTTGGGACCATCCATCGAATGGAATAACAGGCCCAACCAACATCACGAATGGCTTTCAATTTCGTGATTTCGAAACGTTGGTCTCGCTTGCGAACACCGGCCGAAGTTCGTGTACTCGGCCGCTTTTCGAATGACGTCGGGTGTACTAAGCGACGTGACCGGGCTATAATCGAGCATGAGGGGTAATCAACTCATTCGAAACGTCCCACTGGGAAGACGGGGTAAAACCTTGCAGTCGCTATGGACATTGTTGTCACGAGAGATTCGCATCAACTTACGTGACAAGTCTCGAAAAGTGAAACCGGGCGATGGAATTGAATGGGATGGGACGGGATGTTTGTTTTGGGGGGTCTGCTGAGCGAACAGAGCGATTTTAATGTGGGAGGGAACAAACGGGTAATGGGGGACCGTGGGGCAAATTGGTACGTGGGGGGAGTTAATGTGAAGGAAGGCCGGCCAGGTAGATCGATAGCTTCCCTTTGTCTTTTGTTTCTCCTTTCAACGCTCCTTCGCTCGCTAGGCTCCGAAATCTCACATTTAACATCTCAAAACAGTTGCGAGTGGATATGATACCGACGGTTGTCTGAGACTTGCAAGCCTTGAGAATTTATTTCGCGGGAGATTATCTGAGTATTTTTCTCCTCTTCGACTTTGGAGGCGGAGGAGGAGGAGGAGGAGGAGGAGGAGCGGTGGCGGTCTACCTTCTTCCCCTTCCATCTCCGCCTACATCGTCGTTTCGATAAGCGAGTCTCGCACCATCTCAAATTAGCACGAGTGAAATCCGGAAGAACTAAAATGCCCCAAGTCGAGAAAGTAAAAAGAGAAAAAAGAGTTCCTCCTGGGATTGGACCTATGGAGTGGGAGCAGAGAATGGAAGGTCCCACGGCCATGAATGGTCCTTGTCCAGCGACAAAATCACCAGATTTTTGCACCTTTTCATGCACCACCGCCCCTCCTCCAATGTTTTGTTCCCTAAATGCCAAAAATCAAAATTCACGTACATCAAAAAAGCATCATTTTCCCCACGTAATGTAGCTCCAGGAATGTTACGAAACCGGTCGAATTACCACAGTGCACGTCGCACGAGGTGCATGGTCATGTTGGTCCGGTCATCAAGTGTAAAGAAGACAATAGATAGATAAAGTCAACTCCTCGAGTCCGGCGTCCACCGTTTCGCCATCCTTTCCGACTTTCTTTTGAATTAAAACTACTTTAAAAACCCTATATTCTATATCACAAATAGCTTTATCCGATATGTCCGTGATAAATCTAAAAATTAATTACGAAAAGAGTACATTGGTTTGGAATTTTTTTTAAAGCTACAATTAGATTGGATAGATGCGGCGCGGGTATACAGGCCTGAGATTTTTACGTGATATTGGCTCTATTTTTTTCCCTCCTTTTTGGATATTTAATGATGGATGTTCCCCATGCATTTGCTAATTAACCCGAAAAGAGATATTACAATTCCAGTTCGAATAAGTATTTTACGAAAATCAAGGCTTATATCGAAGCCCCCGACAGGCACACAACACCACACACTCACTCGCTTTCACCTGACCGGGCCCCACCTGGGGTAAAAGTAAAATTACCAGTCACCCAACGGCCCAAAGAAACCTCACTGTTCCAGCTCATCGTCTCCGCGTTTGACCTGACCGCACTGTACCCGTCAGCACGTCAAGCTGGGGTCCCACCCTCCGTTCCCTATGGCAAATTAGTTCCCCAAGATACATTTTAAAAGGCTCCGTTTGTTTTTGGTAGAAAATGTCTGATTTGGATATATTTCCGTAAAAATGATGATTTGTATGTATCGAAATATCATCAGTAATAATTAAAGTTTAAATGCTTTCATGAACAATAGAAGTATTTTTCGTTCATATATTTTTGGGTTAATGCAGCGAAAAATTCAAAATTGATACACCCGTGATAAATTTATCTCAAATGATAAATTTACCCTCTGCTAGTTTTTGTTAAATTTTTACCGTTAAATTGCTGATTTGGATGATACGTAGCAGTTGACGGGTGTTCCGGTTTGGGGTTTTACCCTCTGTTTGTTTATTTGTGATTTTTCGTCGTATTAATCCAATTTAACGGAAACTGACGGAGGATAAATTTGTTACGAATGTGCCAATTTAGAGTATTTATAAGGTAATTTTACAGATATATTAATTTTATATTTTTTTGGAATCTTTATAATTTTTAAAATTATTTTATTTTTTGACGAAACAATCGGACGCCTCTCGATTACGTGCAGTAGGCAAAAGATCGCAACAGTTTCCTCGTTCTCGATCTAGTGGGGGCGGGTCCTCCAGTCCCTCGCCTAATCCGGGCCCTACGCGGAGAAGAAAGGAAGGAACAGTTGACGAATCCGCCCCAATCTCGACCGTCAATCACGAGACGGGTCCGGTGGGGGCCGGGGGAGGGACCGACCAATGAGGGCCGTTGGATCCGGATGAAAAGAATCGCCCGTCGGTGACCCGACCACGACCGCGACCGCGACCACCACCCCCCCATCATTAGGCAGCCTTAAACCCGGGGTTAAGGGATTGACATTGCCGTCGTTCCCAACTGTTTGTCGAGTTCAGAGTGGCCTCGCTTCGCAATATAAAACCAGGCACGCAGATATATATAGAGAAGAGAGAGAGAGGAAGGGAGGGAGGACAACTGCCGTGGTCGTGTTGCCTCCTCGGTTCCTTCTGGGCTTCGTTTTTTGTCTCGTTATATCTTGCTCGATGCTCGCTTGCGTCGACCTTCTTCTTGATCTTTTTGAGTTGAATGTGTCGTCGTCGTCTACCTACCCCTATACGCATATGTATCCGGGTCCCTGTTGACATATGCGCGTGTATTTTGCTCCCCGGTACAGAGGAAACGCACGCGCGCACAAGCCGCGCACGGCGGGGGGGAGAGAGAGAGAGAGAGAGAGAGGCTGACGGTGGCGGGTCGTTCCTTCGTTTCTTTTCCTCGCAACGAGCGGGTTGATCCGAAGCCGGCTTTGAGTCGGTCGTGCGGTGGGATTTCGTCGCGGGGGGGTGTTCTCGAATGGTGAGGAAGTTTGCGGACCGGCGATAAGTGAACTGTGAGAGCGAGGCGTTCCGATGGGGAGCAACAACAATAGTTCGTCGGAGATGCAAGAAGAGCCGAGCATCGACACCGACAAGCTCAGCTACGAGATCTTCTCCATCCTCGAGAGCAAGTTCCTCTTCGGCTACGACGACCACAAGCTCTGGGTCCCCAAACAAATCGACCCGAAACCACCCGCCCCCGACGGCGCCACCAACAATAACGACCTCTCCTCCATCAAGAACCAGCGAGGCAAAATCTGCATCCTCGCCGTCGACGGCGGCGGCATGCGGGGCGTCCTCCCCGGCAAGGCCCTCGCCTATCTGGAGCACGCCCTCAAGTCGAAGTCCGGCAACCCGGACGCCTGCATCGCCGACTACTTCGACGTGGCCGCGGGCACCGGCGTCGGCGGCATCTTCACCGCCATGCTCTTCGCCACCAAGGACAACAGCCGCCCTCTTTTCCGCGCCGACGACACGTGGAGGTTCCTCGCCGACCACGGCCGGAAGTTCTACCGCTCGCAGCCCGCCTCCGGCTCGGGCGGGTTCCTGCGGAGGCTCCTGCGGGGGGGCTCCGCCGGCTCGACGGCGTCGGCAACGGCCGCGCTGGAGAGGCTCGCGAGGGAGTGCTTCAGCGACGGGGCGGGGAGGGAGCTGACGCTGAGGGACACGCTGAAGCCGGTCCTGGTGCCGTGCTACGACCTGACGAGCTCGGCGCCGCTCCTGTTCTCCCGGGCCGACGCGCTGGAGACGGACGGGTTCGACTTCCGGCTCTGGGAGGTGTGCCGGGCCACGTCGGCGGAGCCTGGCGTCCTGGAGCCGGTGCAGATGCGGTCGGTGGACGGGCGGACGCGGTGCGTGGCGGTGGGAGGGGGGCTGGCAATGAGCAACCCGGCGGCGGCGGCGATCACCCACGTGCTGCACAACAAGCAGGAGTTCCCGTTCGTGCGGGGGATGGAGGACCTGCTGGTGCTGTCCCTAGGGACGGGCCAGCTCCTGGAGGTGAGCTACGAGTACGACCAGGTCAAGGCCTGGAAGGCCCGGGACTGGGCCCGGCCCGTGGCCCGAATATCGGGCGACGGGTCGGCGGACATGGTCGACCACGCGGTGGCCATGGCGTTCAGCCAGTGCCGGAGCGGCAGCAATTACGTGCGGATTCAGGTACCGTCTTCCTCCTCCGCACCCTCTTTGAGATTTTGCCATTTTTCCTTTCTTTTTTTTTTACTTTCTTTCGACGTGGGTTTGCATTTATTTCGCGTCATTACGGGTTTTTGGCGGGGAGCGCAATTGCTTCGGATGTGGCTTTCTTCTGTGCTGTTTCTGGTGCACGAGACGAGACAGTGTTAGCCAGGCTGGTATGGGAGGGACGATGATACAGGGGACTCTGTCTTTTGCTTGCTTTGGTTATTCCCACACTTGCACGGCCTGTGCTCGCATTCGCGCGCGCACGCACACACATTTATGGAGTTGGAATTTGGAGCTGGAGCGGCCAACCAAAGGACATTGGAAATCGGGTTTGGTCGAGACCTTGCGAAAGCGTGCTCTTTTTAGTGTTTTTCAGTGCGGTACGTTCGACTGCAATTTGTGTGGCTAGCTAGATATCTCCCCCGTTTCAGGAGCCACCACCCCTTTCTTTAAATGTTGA